CTTCACTTCGCAGATCAGCAATCTTCTCCTCGTACTGTTCCGCGATCTCTTTCTCGATCTGACGCCTCCTTGCCTCATGGATAGAATCGTCATAGGCGACAGGGGGACCAATGAGGTCGTTGCCCTTCGTAGATGCGGTGACACCGTCGATGCCAACAGGTCTTGAGGAGCTGGCCGATGCTGTGGACTTCGATCCCAACATCCCGCGATCCCCCAAGAGTTCGCGTAGCTGTCGATCACGCACGGCTGCCGCATCACTTTTCCCATGAAATCCGCTTGGTATGCCAAACAAAGTGGCTGCACTAGGCGTGGAACGCGCAAGTGCTGGGCTGCTAATACCTGGCACGTAGTGCTCGGGCATTGCATCCGCCACGATTGGCATTGAACTGCGGCCAGTGAAGAAGTTTCCACCGGTGAATGGAATTCCATCCATCACAAGGTTCTTGTCCTTGTCCGATTCCGAGAATGCGAACTTCTCTTTGGCGACTGGACTAACTTGACTTGGGGACCGTATTTCAGGGGATCGTACCTCATCTCCTACGGAAAATGCAGGCATTACTTCCTTTCCTACGTGCTCCCAGCCAGACTCAGTAGTCCTCGAAGACATGGGCATGCTCGAAGGTCGCGTCGCTCCTCCTTGATTGGAGTTTCGCGCTGCCTCCAATTCGCTGCGTGTCCTCGCTTGAAGATCTTCTTGTGCTTTGAGCGTTTTCCTGAGTTCACTCAGCTCGTCGTGCAAGGTAGGCAATGATCGCCTTGCATGATCTTCATTCTGATGAAGTCGTTCCTCTGCTTCTTGCATCCTCTTCACAGCCATTTTGCGGTACTCTTCCTCTTCACCAAGACGTTCGCGAAGCCGAAATCGTTCTTGTTCAATGGCTGCGCTGTTTCCAGCTAGCCCTTGGATCTCGTTCACAGCCCGCAACTCCTGGTTCTTGACCAAGTGGAATCGTTCCTGCATTGCTTGTAAGGCTTGTTCCGAACTTGCTGTGTTTGACCGGAGGACCAAGTTCTCTCTGGCGTATTCATGAAGTTCATGAGTCAGACGCTCATACTCACGTGCCATAAGCTCACCATCACCTTGCGCTCTTGCCTCCAACTGCACAAAGTTGGTGGCTGCCTCCGTGCGAAACACGTGTAGCTGTTGAGCTAAATCCTCGGCAACGGCATGTGCTTGACGTTGTTGAGCAGAGTTCTGTTCATCCATGCGAAACAAAGCTGTTTCATAGTCTCGCTTCATCTCCTGATTGACATTGTTGATGTGCCTCATGGCTAAGCATGCATGATCACGTTGTCGTTCCAATTCTTCAATGCGAATTCCAGATCCTTCATCTTCTTGCTGCATCTCCTTGATCTTGTCCATCAGGGTCTGGACGATTCCTTCGTATTCTTGCACCTGACTGCGATAGTACATCTGCTGTGCAAGGTTCGATGCTTCGAACTGTTGCGAAATCGTCAGTTCCTGGTAGGCATTCGGACCGTCAGCTATTGCAGGCGTGGCCACGGATGACGCATCACCACGTGCAGGAATCGTATCCAGAGTCATGTCCAGATCGTCAGTATCGCGTGGTTGATTGGTAACCATCCGATTCCAAGTCATGGACTTGTCACGCCCACGAGTGGCCGAAGTCCTCGATCGTGCTGAAGAGCTTCTCGAAGATGATGGTCTTGACTTCTTTTCCAAGGTCTTGACTCCTTTGTCCTTAGCCCTGGACGTAGTCCGAGGTGCCTGAAAACCAGACGCTTCGGCCCGTCGTTCTGAAGCCTTGCCCGTCCTCGAACCTGTGGATGTCGGACGTGAAGGCGTAGATGCTCTTGGTAGACTCTTTGCTTTCCCCTTGGGAACTGCCTTTGCAATGGCAAGCGCAGAAGATTGACCTTTGTCATCTTCCGTGGAGCTATCAACGGATTGCACCACTGTGTCATCAGCTGTTGACTCACCAACGGCTGGCGCTGCCACATCGGCACCGAAAGTCATTGTCGTATCTTGGCTTGATCCTGAGTTCATTGTGGTCGTAGTAGATCAAGTAGTCGTTGCTGTAGAAAGGCAGAGCCGCGTACGGCTGATAACCTGCGTGGGGGATTGATCTCGACTTGGTTGCTGCTCTCCCCACCAGAGCTGTAATGAATGTAGGTGTGGCTGGCTAGCACTCTCCACAGACTGGACCCTGTCTCTCCCTCTTACTTCCACACGTGCGATCCTATGCAGGCAGAACCGGCGGCCGTTCCTTTTGCACTCACTGCCGGCGGCGGTTCGTCTGTGCAACGGGATAGCTCTGATTGCTCAGGATAGAAGACACATATAGCACTTAGCTATGGGCATTGACTTGAGCCAAACGTTGCGTTGGCGGTCACATAGAAAGGTAAAGATGAGGGATGCGTAGCATGCCCCCTAGAGTCGAGGGACGCGTAGCGTGCCCCCTTCTCTTGCACTTTACACGGTCTTGCTCACAGCTCTTATAGTGACACCTTAGAACATGACAAGGCATCGCAGTCCGTTCGCACTTTTGACTTAAATCCCAAACGAGGGTCCGAGGAAGCAGGGTCAGCGGCACTGGCCGTCGTGGCTTAGCGACTATATACAACTCGACTCAGATGGGATCGAGCCTCCGGGCTGATGTCCGGTATCTTAAAACTCTTCTCTCGTCATGTCTTCGAATGGTTGTTGAATACAATTAATTCCCGCCACGGTATTGCTGACATACTATCACTTTGGACATGCCGTATCATCGCATACAGAATGTTAGTATAATACGCAGGTTATAGTACATGCTCTTTCGCAGTCGGAAGCCTGTGTATCGCCTATGAGAATACCGTGATGACATGCATTTATTGCTGCAGGTTCGTAGCTGTCCCGTGGACAGATGCATGGGGGGATTTCATATCAGACGTCGATGATTCGAGTATTTGTTGTATTCACATGTACATCCCTGGAAGCGACAACCTTCCGGCTTAACGACATGCCAACGGGCATGTAGCACAGTCGTATTTAACTAAGGATTTAGTATTGTAAATACAAAACCGTGGTTAAATATACCCTAAAGGTATCGGGCTCATATATATATATATATATATATACATACATACATACATACACACACACACACACACATATATATATATATATATATATATATTTATACATATACGTACATGTTTTGTATATATATATGTATATATATATATGTATATATATATATGTATATGTATATGTATATGTATATGTATATGTATATGTATATGTATATGTATATGTATAGCACTATATTGTAATATTGTATTATGTCATATTATAACATATTATAGTAAATCATATCATATCATACCATGCTACATTATACTAGCTTACAGAACATTATTGTGTAGTATGTTCAGACATACGTGTACATACATACACACAAATGCACGCACGCACACATGCAGGCACGCAGGCACACAGGCATGCAGGAGCAGTCACGCACGAGTACACACACAGAGATTAGACAAAAAAACACACACACACACAGAACATGCGTACGTACATGCATACATACATACTTACATCTGCACATGCACACATGTGCAAGGAGTCGCGCGCATGTACGTACAGGCAGAGAGGCAGGAGTCAGGACGGCCTGAAAAAAAAACTCCATCGTGGAAGGTGGTAAGCGAGGAGATGCTGGGAGAGGTCCCAGGCCTGGGCAGGGGCGGCTTGCCGTGCAGAGCTCTGTTTGGCTTTGCCGTGTTGCCCTCAGTCTTCGGATTTTTGAAGGTCAGCACGACGCAAAGCCGACGGAAGATGGCCAAGGTGCGGAGACCTCCGTTCTTGTTGAAGGGGGGTACTTACTTACACGACTGCATGTCCGCGAGACGGCAAGACACGGCTGTTAAGCTGCCACAAAGTGCGATGCCTGAACGGCTGAACCAGCCAGCAGGCATGCAAGGTGTTGTCCCAGATCCCGGGCTGCACTTATTGGGGGTTAGCCCGGGTCAGCCGAAGATTGTGCACATCTGGGACAGATTACCTGTTCAATGCCTCCAGACTAAATCTCAGGCTTGGTCGTGAATGCTCCTGACTTAGGTTCATGCTCCGATGAAGGCGTGGTTAGACTGAGGGCCGATGGCACGATGGAGGCTTTTTTTCTGATCAATTTTTCAACTTGTGCCACATGAATCGCATGGCACGCGTCGCCGCGTCGCTTGCAAAAGCAAGCGACTCCAAGTGCGCGAGCAAGCGCTCCATGCGCCACGGGAGCCCTGCGTTTATCAAAGTCCAGGTGCCATCTGGGCCGGGGGGCTTATCTCAAGCCCAGGACAGGGAGGCGACCCGTGCTAATATTCTGCCTTACCACGTCTTTCCTTCAGGTTTTGGCCTCGTCTGCTTTCCGCTGCATGTCATGGGGACCTGTGCAAGCCTGGACGGCTAGCCGCATCGTGAAAGTGTATTCGCGGTTTCCCTCCGCGAAAGCAATTCATGTTTGATTGACAGGCCCCATTCGGCCTTTGGAGTTTCGAAAAGCGAAGCTGCGGGCATGAATCGTTTCACGCCAGTTGCATGCAGTGATTTCCAGCAGTTATTTGTCAAGCCGAAGGTCAGTCAAATTGCCCTGGATCTTCTTTTTATCTCGTCTAGTGTCGCGCCACAACTACTTAAAGGAGCGAGTGGCTCACTTCGAGATTTGCACCTTGGCAGAAGAAAATCGGAAGTAACTTGACGTTGAACGACCCAGCTTGAAACCGAGTTCTCTCCCAGCTGGCGTTTTCTGCACAAAGTCCCAGAAGGGTGCTTGCATGACGAGGCTTTGGCTTTGAAGCCCTTTGCTATGAGGGGAGATGGCATGTGAGCAAGATCCAGATGTAGGCAGTACTTGGGAAGCAGATGAGACACTTACATGCATGTCCTGACAAAGGCATGGTACAAGTAGAGGCAGGGAGACAGGGATGCTACCGACATCTGCAGACAGAACGAAAGACAAGGACGAGCGCGAGTGCAAGCACAAATGCACAAATGGAAGCTCTGAATGGAACGCAAGACACTAGGCCGGTACCTTTCCTGAACTGGCATTGCTGGAGCTGCCAGAGTTGAATCAGGTGAGGTCCTGATGCCCAAAGCTTGGCTTCAGCCACTGGAGCCTTGGATTCCACGGCCGCAGTTGAAACCCGCCAGGTGTGAGCGAGCCCACGCAAGCCTATGTGCCGATGCGAGCCCCACTAGCCACTACAGCCAGCTCAGGTAGCAGCACTCTTTGATGCGAGCAGCGAGCATGCATCCGACGCTGCCCAGTTCCTGTTTCCGCACAAGGACTTGTCTTGTTCTCATGTGTCAGACGAGCGGTGTGAGCCGCGGTGGAGCTGAATTCTAGACTTTTGAAACCACCCTCCTTCCAGGAGATCTCGATACTGCAGCTGCCTGGGCCCAATCGGGTGGCAGAGGCCTCAGAGCCACAGAAGTCAAGGTCGGTTCCGGTGTTTTCGGGGGCCAGGAGGGTACTGGTACGGAAAGAGCTGAGCAACGGTCAAATCACGATGATTACTCGCACTGAGAAGCCACCAGGGTCGCGTCCAGGCAAAAACATGCTTCGACGCCCACATGCAGGCAGAGCTTGATCCAAGAGCGGCTCAGCTGCACTCCTTGCAGCGTGTCGCGAGGGTTCCGATGCAGGGCGTGGTCGGCATGATGTGCAAGACTTTTTGTAGCACCACCAGGATGAAGCGAGCCGTATGGCAGCTGAAGCAGAACAGGTGGGGCCTGAACTCTTTTTGTATCCGAGAGCGCATGCGACAGTTCTGCCGCCCTAGGCACACACACAATCGAGTGATCCGGATGCAGTCGCCCGGGAGGCCCATGTGTAAGACTTCAGTCTGACCAACACAGATGCGGTTTCCGGCAGGAACAGCACTTGCCCAAGGAGGCAATCCCGTCCAGCTTCGTGACTCCATCTTCAGCTGTGTTGTTTCGGTTGAAGCAGCACTTTTGTCATGCACGGTGGGGGAACAGATCTGAGGACAGGATTGCCCAGAGATACACTGCGAGAAGTGCGCCGAGTTGACTCCCCGGACTTCCCAGCTGTTTCAATCCGCAGTGGGGCTCATTCCTCCTGCGGGGGGAACAGTACGAATCAGAATCGGCACAGAAGTCGTTCGAGCTAAGATGAGGTGCCCATCGTGCCCCACTTGCCCCTCCTGTCCGCATGGTCTTGGCGCCCAGTCACGCTGCGAGCGTATTGCCCTACCGGGGCATCCGGGCAGTGCTCTCTGAGGTTTTAGGCACCCGGAAGGTGATGAAGGCCAGGAGGTTTCATGCCGCCTCTGTCTCTTCATTCCAATATGTTTTAGACGTGCCATTTGTGCCTTGCATGGCATGACGCAGCAGAAGACCGGAACTCGAAATAGAGCCGTTGTCTGGAGGCGAAAGTAGCCGTTCCGGAGCTAAACATACTTCCAATGACTCGGCTCAATCGCGTTCCATGCCAGGCACACCACCACCAGTCGCAGGGAAGAGCTTTGCTTGCAATTTAGTTCTTGACCAACCGCACGGTGTCGTCAAGGACTCAAGCTAATGGAGTCTTGTCTTTTGATGCCATCGGTGCAAGGGTGGTCTGCAACCGGATGGAGAACAACTGCCCATTCTGTGCTGCCCTGAGTCCTGAAGTTGGGCAGCTGATTGCCTGTGCTGTTGGTAGCCCGAGGTCCGGCATGCCAGTGTCCGGAGTGCCCTAAGAAGTGTCAGCCGTGCTTGAAGAGGTGCGAGTGGGAGACGGGATAAGACGCTCTTGACAGCCTGTGTAAGCCGGGTTGACGACGCTGTAGCCGTCTGACAAACCAAGTGTCCATGAAGCGAGCCTTTTGCTCCTGCTTGGTGTTCGAGCCGCTGCTGAGCTGGGTGCGCCATGCGTCGGCGCTGCCGGCATGTCGGGCTTGGTTTGGCATGTCTGGCATGCAGCCTCTTCCTTCGCCGAGCTTGCCGAGGCACCTTCCTTGTCACATCAGGCGAGCTAGGAATGCGGCATCGCTGCTGCGGTTACGCCTGTAGTGGCAGCGCCCGAGGAAGCCGCATCAGAGCTGCCTTGCACTGTGTCGGTAGCGGACCGTACGAGCAACTCTTGGGGCCCAGCGAACTGAGCCAGGCTGATGTTGAATGTGTGACACGGCGACAGCTACTTCTCCCGCCGGGAAGCGATTGGGAGCTTGAGAGGCACAGAATGCGGGCAGGACATCGTTGTCGGCATGGCTGGCCACAGGTGCTCGTGATGGATCCGCTACGTTCTTCTGGGAAGATTGGGGACTTGATGCGCCTCACATGCCCGCTACTCGTGTCTGCCATCGATGACTACGAGGTCGTGGCAATTGAGGCTTACAATAAACGAGTGAAGCACGATGACGACTGGCTGTCGCAGTTGCTGGCAACGCATGAGGCACACAGAAGTCTGCGCCAAAGCTTCATGTCCGAGCACGAGAACAAACTTCTCGAAGCGAGAAAGATCATGGGAAACCAGACGGTCGATGTGATCATGTCTGCAGGTCTGGCTAACGTGAAGTTTTCCGTCAACTCCACTGATGTAAAGTGCTTACATGCACAAGTTGCTGACCTGCTTTCTCGAGGCAGCAATGTGATCGGACGGCAAGTGTTAATCGACCTGACAGAGATGGGCGTTCAAGTCGAAGCCACCACAAAGTGCTGTGATTTTTGCAACGTTAGCAAGCCGCTCGATCAGTCACAATGGACCTTTGGCCACGCTAAGAACAAGCTCCGCACGAGGGTGAGGAGACAGAACAGGTGATGCCTCACGTCAGCGGGCCATTGTACTCGGAAGGTGCTCCGTCCAGCAGGATCTGATTCAACAGAAAGCTCGCTCGGATAATGCCTGTTGACTGGCTTTCGGGTGTAACGCTGCGATGGATTGTGCGCCAGACAACGTGCTGAAGACCACGACTGCGCCATCAAGATCGATGCAGAAAGCCGGCAGAAACACAGGAAACAGGATGGACTGACTTGTCAAGCGGATAGTCTTCTTGATGGGCCTGGCTCGTTGCTCGCAGCTTGTTTAGGGTAGACTGGCAAATAGCCAAATGAGCTCAGAGGTGAACTTGCCGACCGAAAACTAGCAGCTTTATCAGCACTTGCAGGCAAGCAGGTATGTTTCTTGGTCGTGATCGCCCCTGATTGAAGGGTGCCGAACGATCCGCCGACTGTGAAGCTGGATGCAAACGGCCAAGTGAGCGGATCTTACTCTGAAAGTATGCCTCGAGCTGGTAGATGCCGGGCCCAAATTCTGTGTGAGCTTCAGGCAAGCTGCCGACGGCTCACCGGTGAACCCGCTTGTGTGGCTTGATCGCAGTCGGCAGGAATGTAATAATAGCTGCAGGTCAATAACAAGTGGTGCCGAGGCAGGCGATCAACGACGACGTGAAAGAGCATGCGTAGACTGGCTTGTCAGTTCAAAAGACTGAGCAGAAGCAGCCTTTGACCTGGTGTGCTTTGCAATTTGCAAAGTACACTTGCCTTGCGATGCACAGGGCAGCCAGCAGTGGAGTCGGAGGCTACCTTGGGTGTGACGACCTGTTTATGGATCAAGGTGGGGAAAGATGGTCCTTAGCTTGGTTCCTTAGCTGGTAGCCGTCGCAAGCAGTGGCCGCATGCCTGGAATGGGTTCAGGACAACACATGTTCACAGTCTGCCGCCATGCTCGAGATGTCTTGGGAATTTGCACTGTGCAGCGATTGGTTTACAGCCCTGCCTGCTGAAAAGCCTCGTCAGAACATGTAATTGCCCTGCTAAGGTTCACTCTCATGACTGTCAGGGTCTGGGCCGACGGACGCATCTCTCTCTCTGTATCTTTGTCCTGTGGTGCTGTGAGAAACTTACAAGGTGGCGGCTGACTGCTCCGAGGACGATGGTGCCTTTAGCGAGGTAGCAGAGCTTTTTTATTGTGTGTGCTTGCCGAAGCAACCAACCGCACCCGCCTGGACAGATGTTTGTCACCGTGGCCTGCTTCGTAGTTGGCTTCATCATCTTTGAGGTGAGACCCTCAGGGTGCAACACCGTGTGCCCAGAGATCACGTGCTGGACCTGAATGAGACCATTAACTCCGCAACTTCGAATGGAGCGCAGCAGAGGCCATCAAAAGATTGGTCTTCATGCCGGCACGAGGCTCCAGAGGCGTACAGGGGAGAAGCAAATGGGCAGAAGCATTGTGCCACTCTGCGGCTCTCAGGTGGCGCACCAGTTGCTTCGCAGCAGGCCAGTCGCTCAGCTTCTTGACTCGCGTAGTTCGGCAGAATGTTTCTTGGGACATCGCCAGGCCCGAAGCGTCCAGAGATCGACCGATCTTGTAGCTCACGCATGCCGCGATCTCCAGCCTTCTTTCCACCAACTGTCACCAGCCAAGCTTTCCCTGCAGATTCAGCCGCCAACTGACTGCAGCGCCACAGCTGTTGCACTTCCAAGGCCCCTGCACAAGAGCTGATTATCCTCGCCGTGCAACACGGGCTGACGCAGCTGGCACCAGCAGCTCTGGAATTAAGCACGTTACAGTAGTGGATAAAGTCCTAGTCAATGCTCACCACACGACAATGCGGTAAGGCATGCACAGTGCTCGTAGCCTTCAAAAACGTTTGCATGAGGTTTCCACGATGAGACGAAGTTTGACATTGCCCCAAACCCCTAACATGTGAGCTTACTTCAGCTGATGTCTATTTCTTGGTCTGTGGGTTTGTCGTGTGCGCATGGGCAGGGCTTTTTCGGACGGCAAGCCTTCGTTTTTGAGTCCACTGACCATTGCCGCACCGCGGAAACTGGATAATGCATCCCTGCGACAGATGGCCGTGCTGTTTCTTCCCTCAGATCCTTAGAACACTTCGAGAGAGATCCGCTAAGGAGGTGCTCTCTTTCCGACATCCATCTATCGCAGGGGTGTACAGCGGACCTGTCCTTATAAAGCTGCAAGGCCCATGAGGCCCAGAAGCTTCGGTGCACATTGTGCCAAGCCATAGTAAATGACAAGGGCGCTGCTAAGCCGCTTTCCCGAGATCCTGGAGAAGTTTGGGCGTGATGGGCTTTAGGATTTTGGAGCCTGTAGGGTGTAGGGCTCCAGGATGCATGATGTATGGTTTTGTGGGATTCACGCACCGGATTCTTGCGCATCGGCTCTTGAGCCTTCGCCCGAACTTTTTCAGAGAGAGGTGAGGGCCTGTTGAGGAACACGGCCCGGAGCAGCCCGCAAACACCAGGTCTCATGGGGGTTTACAGAAAGGGACGTCGTAGCCTTTCGGGGTCCTCATGAAGGATGCAGCTGCTTAGGGGCTCTATCGGGGTCTTTTGGTGTCAGAGTCTGAGACTTCAGCAGAAACGGTGTGTTGGTTGGCAAGGTTTGCACGCTTTGGCCCGGCCCTGCCTGGCTGAAGCTAGTTGGGGCCGGCAAGCCGTTGACGATGCGACGAGAGCTTCAACCTTGGGTTGTTGTCAGCTCTGGCCAGTTCTTTAAATTATTCGATTAGATGAGAGAGGAAAAACTCTATGTTAGGTTTTATGGCAGTCTCCCGCATGATTCTGTAGTTTCGATCTTGTCTGCTTTCTGTCTGCTCTTCCATGCTGGCTGACATCTTGGTTGAAGCTCTCTTGATGCTTGATGCCACGTTTTTTCCCGTGGGCTTGGGCCTTGTCGCGTGGAGTGCCCCAAGCCCTAGGCGGGGCAATAAAGTTGTCGCTGCCGCTCTCGTCGCAGCGAGATATTTGCGATCCCCTACATGCCTGGATCTCAGAGGTTATCGTGGATTCAGGTTACTGTTCACCATGATTCTCATAAAAGCAGGCTACATGAGAAGCCTCTCTTAGACTTGAAAATCGTCGCTCATGCAGTAGTTGCAATGCATTAAAACATAGCTCTGGCTGGTGTTGAGGCTGAGGTTAGGTCGGGACACTCTTTGCCCACGCAAGGGGCCGTTCGTGGTTTCAGATTCCGTGAGGCCCCGCTCCATGCAGCACAAGAGTATCAAGGCACCGGAAGCAAAGCGTTGTGCAATGTGTGCGTGACCCGGCGCTGCTGTCGAACAGTGCATCACTGCGCAGGGATCGCACACTCAGAGTCCCTCGGCCTCGTGTCGCCAAGGTTTTCTTTATGCCGGCATCTCAAGCACATGACACGGGCAACTACGCACATGCGAAAATTAAACAACATATGTCACGCTGCCGTCAAGAAGCATGTTCCGCGGAGCTCAGTTGTGATTCCCGGGCCCAGGTACCCGGCCAATGTGCGACCACAAATGCCGTGCAAGTCGGTTGACTTAATCGGGAAAGCGATATACAGAAGTTGAGCACAGATACTTTTCATTGGTCGCATGGCCTGCCGGCGCACATGCTCTGGGCTCGCAAAGCGAACGATGTAGTGTTCGATGTAGTGTTCAATGCCGTATATGGGTGAAACCCACGGCTCAGAACAGTGACAGTTACATCCAGGATCTCATTTTGAGCTCTGGGATCTTGGGTGTGTGTTGGCAGAAAAGGCCGCATTCATTGAAGGATTTACTGGCAGGCATCAAGCAGTTTCAGCCAGCCCAGCATTGGTCTTGTTGGTTCATGGTGTTTGATTCAGCGGATTGGGATCGGAGCTGTGCACTGAAGGCAGCGAGTGACAGGTAATGTGCACCATGATCCTCAAAGATCTCCGTGACAAGATGTGTCCCCGGCCAGTTCTAGGAAATCATAGCATGCATCCTGTCAGCGAAAGAGCGCGATTCGGCACGTCGTGTACTCGTATGTTGTAATGACAGCAGCTGACTGCGCTTAGAAGCCATGGTTGCAGTACGTTTGCATCCCAGCATGCTTGCTTTGCTTGAAGATGTTCTCATGCATGAGTTGCATCAGATAGGATTAGATACGTCATTTGCTCATGCTGCGACCAGCTCTGCTCCGTTTGTTTGTTTGTTTGTTTGTATGTCTGTCTGTTTGTCTTTTTGTTTGTTTGTGTGTGCTTATCTCGGATAACAAAATTCGAGGCCTACCTTACTTACACTTTACTCAGGGGTGACTTTCGTTAGCTGTGTGAAATAGTGCAGACTGCTCTGTTGTCTAGTCTAGTCGGTAGCACTAGTTTGCTCCCGTGCGCGGGCTGTTATGTGATTTAATGCTGTTATCCACGGACCAGATGCAAAAAAGTTGTAGAGCACAAGATAATGTATGTCTGTATCTGTATGTGTGTATATATATATACACACATATATATATATATATACATATATACATACACACACACACAGTCAATCAGCGCCGGTCCTCCTCTTTGTAACTTCGTTCGATATCACCAGGGAACCTGGGACGTAGCTAGCTGCTGGCCAAGGCCCAGAAATCTGGAGGGACTCCTGGAAGGATGCGCATACTCGACAAAGTCGTCTGCGTGCGCTCCTGCAGCTTGAAACATCCAATAGTTTTGTAGTGTGAGTACTGCCAAGGAAGCCTCGTCAAAAGAGTGGGCTTGCTCGTTTTCGGCGCAGGTTCAGTCAGCCCAGCAGCTCACGTTGGAGAGAAGCCCATCGTTCGGTTGCCGGAAACCCATGGATGATTTTGTCGCGGCCACGATGCAGAATTGCCGCGGTAACCTCCATCTTCAATTGCAGAGTGAGGCTGACCATTGCAAAGGACCAGGAAAGCATGTGGGCTGGCACCTTATCACGTCAACATACTCGAAGGTGCACCACCACCTGCTTTCAGATTAAGCGGTATTTGCAGACTACTCAAGGCGCAATTGGTAACCAGCTGCTGCGCCTTGGAAGGGTCTCGCGGCTTCAGTTTGCCGATCTCTTTATGGGCCACATGCACAGTGCAGTCGAATGTTGCTGTATGATGATGTAGTGTTGTGTGCATCCCTGCGAGTGCTGTGCTGTGCCAGGCAACTGCAAGCCTTGCGCAAGGAGCACGAGGCCGGAGCAGGAATACGCTGGTGTCCAGAGTACCTGTGACCACCTTTCCACATACTGGTTAAAGGGCGCCGCCTAGTTTGAGATCTGAGGTCCTGAAGCTTGAGTCGCAGGCCTTGCGCAGGTGCTTAGACCGAGCAGGCTGCTGAGATGTTTTGCACAAGGCCAAGTGACCCGTCCTTCCAACAGGGTGTGCAGGAAGCGACGGAAGACTGCAGGCTTACATGTCACATGCTGCAGTTGCTGCACACCTACGATGATCCACATGTACGTGTGACGGGCATCGTGCACATTTGTCCTGCTGGCCCGTGCTTTCCTGTCAGATTTCCTGACGCAAGTTTCATGATAACCTCGTATGATAGCCTCGTGTGCTTGTTGCTCGAAGCAAGTACATGGCGGACATACATCGCGGCAAACCGGCGCAAACTGCACCATCCCCCAGAGCCTGTTGTGAGAGCAGACGCAGTGGTGTAGTCGAAAAGAAAACGCAAATTTGGGTCATGGTGGGTCAGCAAGTGTGAGCTAGCGTTCTTGGGTGTAAAGCAGGGCACATGGCTGCGGCGGATGATTTCTTTTTATGATTGGGCTCCCACGCAGCAGGCAGGAACTCCAGGCACGTGGAGAGTCTGCAAGATCTGGTCTGTGCAAGCGTATATATTCGCTCTAGCTGCAGGCTCCCAGAATGGCCATGGCCCGGAGGACCATCCGGGGGGTCGATGATCTGGCTGTTAAGATTGCCTTCCAGGTAACGCGGTATGGGGAAAGGGAAAGTTGAGGTTTTGGTCTCCTGGATTTCGTGGTCGAATGTCATGCTCATACAATGCCAATCTAGCCGCTGGAGTTCGCAGCTGTGACAGGATCTGGCATCGCAGAATGATCTGGAGATCCAGGGCGCAATTTGCCAGAAGATCCAGGAGCTCAACGCTTCAAAGAGGGTCTTCCACGACACCTGAAGCCTTGTAGCAAAAAGCTGAGTTTCTGGCCACCATGCTTTGTAGTGCGAGGATGCCGTGGACATTTCCGACGTCTTCAACAAGGCTGACGTGCAACTGCTCCGGGGGTTGACTCTCCGACCGCTCCTGCAGGTGTCTGCTGTCCCTGGAGCTTAAAATCTCTGCAGTCGCTAGCTATCGCTCGGGTTCCATCTGGGGGATCATAGACGGCTTGCACTTCGAAGTGGAAAGCGCCGCTGGTTGTTTCATATGGGCAGATGGATTGGCAGAGATTGGTCAGAGCCTGCACCCTGACTTGGATGCGCAGGTCGCAATCCATTCGGGGAAGGCGAGCCCCAAGACTTTGGTATATGCCGTGCCAGGAGCCTGGACATCGGGCCTGCAGTGGCGGCCTGCAGTAGTCTGGTGGTTCGAAGTTCGTGCGGAATATCCTGCCGTCTAACCATGAAGTCATTGAAGTCAAACTTTTCTCATGTCTCCGCAAGTGTGGAACTTGAGGATGTCTTGCTATGACTGAGGAGTCATAGGGATGCAGCAGAGGTTGCACTAGCACAGGGTTGTGGGCCATCAGTCGATCCAAGTGTGAGCCGGCAGCAGTGCAGCGTCGAGGCACCGGATCGCCCGATACTGCCGGTTGCGGAAGAAGGATATCGGCCCGACACGTCCGGGGCCTCGGAGCAGGAACAGGCCGAAGTCTCTCTGCGAGCGCCGAGCATCGCTAGGGCAGTGGGGTGACAACGGCCTTATATTTGCCGCACGCATTTTGCCGAGTGGTTTCGCAGGCGTGGTTCAAAATAGATGTCAGGGCGATCATGCAGCACCATGTCACTTGCAGCTAGCCGTCTCGAAGCACCGGAGACCTCGTATCTCAGCCTTTGTCAGGAACGCCTGCAGACAGCTCAAAGGTCTTTAGACATGGGTAGTCCGGTCCGGTAGTCGTATTATATGTAGTTGCAGGCTACAGCACGCAGCCGTCGAGCCTTCAAAGCATGAGTGCCATGGCCATCAGCAAGTCCGTGCTTTTGAGCGAGGATGATTCCGGTTCTTCAAAGGCAGAGAGTGTCGAGGACAGGGACAGCCCCATGCAGCCCAAGGAGGTCTTGGAGTTGGTGCACATGGGCTTCGATCCAGGCGTGGCAGCAGCTGCCCTGCAATCAGCCAACGGCAACATGCAGGAAGCCCTGGACATTCTGACCGGTGACGCTGGTGAAGGCGATTCCCAGACACCGGAGGCACCGCTGAAGGGGCTGCAAGTCATCATGTCCATGGGCTTCTCCAAGGAACAGGCCACGACGGCCCTGCAGAGGACGGGTGGAGATGAGGAGGCGGCAATTACCCTCCTCGTGGAACCCGACTCCCAGCCTCAAGAGCAGCGACCAGCCCCAAGAGCGCAAAGGGCGACTCAGACTCTGCAGAGCCGGGAGAGATCCAGGTCTCGCAGCCCTCGCTTGGAGGCTCGGCCTGCGGCGGATCGCAGAGTGCAGTCCACCAAGCGGCTGACGGCCTTCTCCGATTCGGCGAAGCAGGCGGTGATCGAAGCCCTGGGAGGCCCAGGTGGCAAGCGGAAAACCCAGGTGTCCAAGTCCATCAAGCGGGGCCGCGTGTCTCAGTGGCAGCATCATTGGCAGAAGGATCCAAGCGAAGAGCAGCTTGAGACTGCGTCGCCAGGTTACGCGAAACTCAAGGGTTACCAGAGAGTAGGGGTCCGCTACTTGCTTGCTTTGGCAAAGCTCGGGTGTGGTGGCATTCTTGCTGATGAGATGGGCTTGGGAAAGACCGCTCAAGCATTGGTGTTTCTGGACCTGTTGCCCACGATCCTGAGTGACAAGCAGGGGCGTGCGAGGCAGAGACCATCTCTGGTAGTTGTGCCTGCGACAGTCCTCGAGAACTGGGAACGAGAGTGTGCTCTCTGGTGCCCGCACTTCCGAGTCTTCCGATATCACGCTTCAAACAGAGATGACCGGGCAGCCTTGGCTGAAGAGTTTGAGGACCAATGGCAGCAAGGCGAGTCAGCAGTGGTACTCACTACTGCTGCCATTCTCCGAAACAAGGAGGATCAGCAACATTTCTTCAGGAAGTTTCGCTTCGAATGCGTGCTTTGTGATGAGGCACATGCCATGAAGAATGCGCAGACGAATGCTTTCAGGAATGTGACGCGCCACATCCAAGCCAAGCGCCGCATACTTCTTACTGGAACTCCGGTGCACAATAACCTCGGCGAGCTCGCGAACCTTCTGAAGCTTCTTCTTCAGAGAGAGGGCGGAGTAAGCAGTCCAATCATCAAAGAACTGGAGCAGGTGGTGGAGCGACAGTCCTTACGGACCCTTCAAGCACGTGCCGCGCCTTTCATGCTAAGGAGGCTGAAACGCAATGTCATGTCTGACCTTCCTCCGAAGACATGCCAGCCTCTGCGCTGCCAGATGACAGCTTCTCAAGAGAGCTTGTACTCTGAGGAGCTGAAAAAGGCAAAGCAAGAGTCGAAGAATGTGAGGAGGACCAAGGCAGCCAAAAATAAGTTTGTGAAGCATCTCTTCGCACGATTGCGCCGGCTTTGCAACCACCCGTTGCTCATGCAAGCCAGACTAAGTGAGGCTGACTTTGCGAACCTGACAAAGCTGATGCGAACAGTTCGCGAAGACTTTGCACGCGCTAGTTTCGAGAAGTGCCGAGAGTTTTTGAAAGAAATGAGCGACTACGAGCTGGTGCAGCAGGTGCGGGAGTACAATCTGCAGGGCAAGCTTGCAGACTTCGGCATCGAGCCACGCAAACTCAGCATCAACCGCGATGATATCATGAGCTCCGGTAAGATTCAGGAGCTCTGTAAGATACTGGAGAGCCACTTGGAGGGAACTTGGAAGTCGTTTGTGCGGTCAGGACGCGATTGAGCTTCCCTTGTAGTACAACGACGACGACTACTACTACCACTACTCCTGCAGCTGCTGCTACTGCTACTGCTATTACCACCACCACTACTACTACTACTACTACTACAACTACTACTACTACTGCTACTACTACTACTACTACTACTACTACTACTACTACTATGACTACTACTACTACTACTACTACTACTACTACAACTACTACAACAACTACTACTACTACTACTACTACTACTACTACTACTACTACTACTACCACGACGACGACTACGACGACGACGACGACTACTACTACTACTACGCTACTGCTACTGCTGCTGCTGCTGCTTCTACTTCTATTTCAATTGCTACTGCTACTGCTACTTCTGCTGCCACTGCCACTGCGCTCGTGCTTCTACTTCTACTGTCTGCCACGCTACTAGTATCAAGCTAACAATTGCGAATCAAAGTGCCGCTGCTGCTGCTGTCGCCGATTTCCCACGTTTGTCAGCAACGGCCGCAATAGCCCTAGCAACACTATGATGGGCATCGTTGCCCTTCCTGACTGTTAGTCGTCGCCATGTTCTTTTTCGTGGTGGTGGCGCTAAGCTCGATCCATCTCTCCCCTTTTCGCAGTCGCGTTCCGAGTTCCGGCGGCCGTGTTGTCGCGGTTCCGCCGGCTTTCCTTACCAGAAAGAGTGGCTTGAGGTCAACGTGAGGCGAGCCGCAAAACTTTGGTGTTCTCTCAGTTCACCATGTTCCTCGACATCATAGGAAGTGCGCTGGAGGACGGGTGGTCCAACTAGCCGCTAGCCTAGCTTTGTTCCGTCCCGAGCATGTTGTAATGCCGCCGCGACAGTATGCTCTCCTCGCTCTTTGTCTGCACATGGAGTCCCACCGCCCTGATTGCAGGCCCGGGACATTCGCTTCGTTCGGGTGGATGGTACCACCAAGATTAGCGAGCGACAGGCGACGGTCGACAGCTTCCAGAAGGAGGGCTCTGGAGTTGATGTTATCATCTCCTCGCTGAAGGCACGAAAGCCATATGAAGGGCTAGGAAATCAGGAAATCTTCGTGGCGGGATCAAGCTCAGATTTGGGCAGCGGCGGATCCGAGATGCATCCTAGAGCGTGGCCATCAGTCGCAGCCAGCTCGTTAGGATTCATTAGGCAGATCAGGTTTGTCAGGTCCGACTTTGTTTTTTCGTGGCCCTGAGGCGGGTGGACAGGGTCTCAACCTGACGGCAGCGGACCGTGTAGTTCTGATGGACCTGTCCTGGAACCCTCAGGAGCCATGGCTTGCGTGACCTCTGATCACCCCCTGAAACTAATCTGTGACAGGACAATCGTCAAGCAGAAGACCGAGCACACAGGCTGGGCCAGACGCGGCCAGTCACCGTGACCTACATGACGTGCAAAGCCGCTGGACGACAATTCTGGGTACCAGTAGCTGTGTAAATGTGTAGGAACTCAGTGGAAGCCTGCTGAGGGCACCGTCGAGGAGAAGGTCGTGAAGTGCAACATTTCGAAGATGCAGCTGGACTACGAGTTCGGAGGCCAGAGAAGCGCCCTGGAGGAAGCGGAGGCCCGACTCGACGAGGAAGGCCAAGGCAGCGGCAGCTCGGAGAGCGAAGGCGAAGGCGAAGAGCTCGAGGAACCCAAGGGCAAGAGCTTCGAAGACGAAGTCTGCAACGAGTTTGCTCAAGAGCTGGGCCTTTAACTAGGGAAAAAACTAGGAACCGTGCCGTTGCAGGTTCGGCCCAAGATATCTTACCTGAAGCAACTGCACACCCCGTGCCGTCACCTCCCCTTCAGGGCAGAACTTGAGTGGGGTAGACTCGAGATGCGACTGCCAGAACGTAGAGCGCAGAGCACACGCCTTGTGTTGAAGGCGACAGTCGGAGGTCTGGACTTAATTTCTGTACAGCCCATGATGATGGACGTCCGCCTGGTTGATCACTTGCTTTTCCGGGCTGGTCCCCAATTCTATGCGCGGTAGTCTCTTTGCGACGTATTTGTTGTGAGCAACAATAGGGGTGCGCCCAACTCATCGGCAGGACCAGGCTTTCTTGAGAGCACCATGTGTTTTTTGGCGCCTGGTGTTTTTGGGTTGCCGTGGTCCTGCAAGTTAGAGTTGGTTCGGGCTAGCTTCTAGATGGGTGGATAAACCCAGCCGCGGCTGCGTTCTTGAAGAAAAAAAGGCGGCACCGGCTGATTGCCTCCAGCATGGGTCAGGCAATGTTAGAGCCGCTGTCAGCTTTAGGGGCCTGTGGACAGTTCGGGTTTTCCCGGGCTACCAAGCTTCTCTCAGGGCCTTGATTGTCAAGGTCGGGCCCAGCGCTTCTTGGCCTTGCTTGCGGATGTCCAGCGCCACCTCGCGCGCCTGGATGCGCAGGCCCTCACATGGAGGATAAGTCCTAAGTGTGTTGGTGTCAAGCTGAAGATTTCAGACTGAAATTGGCCTGGTTGTTGGGTTTGACGGTTTGACTAGGCTGGATTATGTCTGCCCGTCGTTCCGACAGGAGGACAATAAGATTAACAAGGGCTTCAACAGATAGTTGTAGCAAGCAGCAGCAGAAGCCCGCCAAATAATACTCTGCGACTTGTGGTTTAGGGAGTTCAGAAGCTTTTGCGGGGCTTCTTCGTTGATAGCTGATAGCCGTTACGAAGGTTCAGGACTGCTGCTTGTTCCAGCATCGGCTTGCAGCCGAGCATCTGCGGCAGACATCTATGCACCTCGTGAAGCCATTCCACCAAGCCCTCACAAACGCAGGTTAAGGCTATGGTCAGGCTTCACACATGTAGCAGAACCCTCAAAACCGACTTTTCTGGACAAAACTGCTCCAAAACCCGTATGTGAAGCTTGTAGCAGCAGCAGCAGTCCGAAAATGTGCCATGTCCCTGCGTGGGGAGACGGGATGGCAAGCGACCCACGCGAAGGCTTTCGGCAAGGAGCAACCTGCCTCGCCTGCCTAGACAAAATAGCAATCCAAGACTTTTGGTGCCAACCTCGCTGGTTCAAGAATTGTTTTCGCGGAAGGAGCGCTGGCCCCAGCTACTTCGCGCACTGCGGCAGCCAGTCCACCATGTCGCACTTCTGAACCCCTTCTTGCCGTCGGTCCAGCGTGAGGACCACTCTCATGCACAGCTGCTTTCTCGCAACATAGAATAGCCAGCGGTTTCGCCCGCCAAACCAGCCCTCAAGGACGTGGCGCAGCTGCAGCGGCTGCAGCCGCATGAAGAGATACCATGCGTCTTCGTCAATGCAGATGGCTCGTCCTGTTCCGGTGATGCCGAAGCTGATCAGGACAGGCGAGGCAGGTGAGGCGCTCGCGGGCGCTCACGAATGTTGGATGCTAGCATTGCGACCTGCAGGATGGTGACGGTCTGCTTGCGCCCAGGGCTTCGGTGGAAACTCCAGGTACATCCGGTCTCCTACCATGTCCCTTGCAATGCCCATGCTTCACAGCTTTTCCTTTTTCGTGCTCAAGCGGGGTGAGGCTATTCTTTGGAGGAACTGAGCCAGCTGTTCCCAACGACCACATCAAGCGAAAGGGTTGCAAGCTGTGTCCATGCCTGGTGTTCAACTCAAGTTCGCCCTGTTACATTGGTGTTTCTGGTCGTGCTAACTGCAGACTCCGGGCGAGTGTCAGCATGTCGCCGTCCAGGGCAGGACGTCGGAGTAGTTTCAACAGGAATAGGAAGGTTAACCGTCAAATAGTACGGGTTAAGAGAAGTGGTAGCGGCGCCACTGGTGCAACCCTTTAGAAGGTGTGTAAGCAAGGGTTTGACGACCATCAGCCACTATCGTAATTACCACCGCCAACACCACCACCACCATCACCATCACCATCACCATCACCATCACCATCGTCACCATTGTCATCTGTGCCAGGGTCGCCTGAGACCACCATCGTGGTCACTTTCGCTTCACCAACATCGTAGCTGGGCGTCTTAACTCCTTACGAAATTGCTCAGTGAAGAAGGGGCCAGACAATCAAGGAATAAGACAGACGCAGGAAGATGGCAACTGTAAACGTCAAAGAAACCAGCGCGAAGCCGGGACTAGTACCACGGAGCATGAAAATCTATGCATACACGAGAACCGCACATAGTCACATAGCGGCTGGAACGTCCCAACTTCCATTATCGCCGTCATCGTCACGTCGTTGTGGAGAAATAGAAATTCTGGCTTCTCGGTCTGGAAGAGGTTACTTCCTGGACGGGGCCTCGGCTTTGGCGGCGGCCCTCCTGGAACCCGGGCCGGGAGCTTCGGTGCTGGACCTTTGCGCAGCCCCAGGGGGCAAGTCGCTGATGCTGGCATCGCTGCTCTTTGCAGGCGGCTCAGGCTAGATTGGCTGCATGTACCGCTGGCAAGATTTTGGGTATGACCGGAATCTGATAGATAGATATTTGTGGAATTCTGCGGACGTTGAACAAGCTCTTCCTCGGCCTGGGTTTCAGCAACAAGTCAAGTAAGGAGAAGATGCATCTGGGAGGTTGATCTGCAACGAGATGTCGCGCCCCCGGCTAGCGAGGCTGCAAAAAGTGGTCTCCTCGTTTCTGCCGCCCGAGATGCTGGCTACAGGCGCCAGCTTTATCTTACAACACCGTGTGACTCCTGGAGTTCGGTTGTTGCAGCTCTGGTGCAGCTGCTTTCTTGCAGGCGCTACCGGGCGTGTCAGCCTGGTCAATGTTGATGCTGCCACTGGATCCATCCCGGTACCCTTGCAGCGTCTAGCTCCCTTCGATCGGGTGTTGGTCGATGCTCCCTGCACCTCTGATGCTCAGCTGCACCGATCCGCGAAATTCTGGGATCTTGCTCCCGCTTTCGCGGCCAGTAGCAGTCGTCGTTGGAAGAAGAACTCTCTTGTCAGGATCGCCATCTGGTACATCAAGGACCCTCGGCGTTGGCACACTGGGCTGCTGGAGCTGTCAAAGCCAATGCGGAGCGACAGCTGGAGCCTTGCCACTAAACGGGTCCTTTGACCAGCTAGAATGCCTGTGAAAGCAGTCAGGAGCTCTTGCGTGCAGCTGCTGCGCTGGTGAAGCCTGGGGGCTTGGTCTTGTATGTCACCTGCGCGTTGGCGGAAGCTGAGAATGACGGCCCCGGCCTCAGTACAAAAAAAACACAGCCGACAAAGCTCCGTCTCGAGTCTCGGCCCAGGTGTTGTGTCCAAGTTCCTGAAAAAGTTTGGGCAAAACTTTGCGTTGGACGCCTTCCCTGATCAAGCTTCGCGGCTTCTGCAGGGTGCTGACGCGACCCAGTGTGGCGTCCAAGCCTTGGGACTACGTGCATATCATCAAGCGGTCCAACTTGGTCTAAGTCAGTGTTGATGCATGACGCCTTGCATCTTTGCGACGGCCAGGTTCTGATTCTTCCGGATCGGACGCCGTACGGGCCCATGTACATATCCCGCCTGCGCCGCCACTAGCTGAGTCGCAGCGACGAGAAAAGTCTTTGGCGGCTTGGAATGGCTTGAAGGAGGCAAACAGGTGCAGAACAGGAAGCTAAGTAAGGAAGCAGTGCAAGCCGTGCGCTTCTTGGAGGCGCTGACGGACCTCAGCTGGTCCTTGGCAGTGCCGATACCTCAAGCAGAGAAGGGATGTTTTCTTTTGCCATTCTATACCTATTTTCCATGAGTTGTTCGAGACCAGATCTGCGCATGAGGCTCAATCACCGCGATAACCGCCTGCTGGCTTGGGGCCCCTGGAGCCTCGCGAAGCGGTACAGTTACACGGACACGTCCACAGGAAGCATTAACTTATGCTCGCTATGCTCACACCGAGGCAGGGATTTGTCATCAGCTCTTCTCGCAGATGGAAGAGTTCAGTCCGGCGAACCTCGCCATAAGTGCCTGGAGCGATTCCGTGAAGTTGTGCCGTGACAGGGTTGAGCTGGCTCCAGTGGCAACATCGGCAGTATCTCATAAAAAATCCCCCATTTGGAGGAGCTTCGCCACCCTGAACTATCGCGATGCAGCGGCCACAGTCCCCGTAGGGGAGAGCTTCTTCCAGACGGCCTTGAGACCTCGAAGCCCAGGATCTGGTGATGAAGCGCCTGAATCGGCAGGCCCTCGGAAGGCTCCAGGTCCGCCCCCCGGGCTGGGGCCGGGCTCTGGCTGGGACCACCGGGTTTTGAGGTTCTTTGGATGCTGAGGCTGCTGAGGTGATTGTTCACAGCTTCCTTCCTAGTTGTTCGAAACGGAAGTGCTTTGAAGCGACAACTGATGGCTTGGTAGCAAAGGGGCTCTGTGTACGTTTTCGTTAGTGGACTCGACTCTGGTGGGGAAGGCCTAGAGCGGCTGGCAACACTACTGGTGCGTGATTATGTTCTTGTGCAGCCCGAGCTCTTTGCCCAGACTCGGGTGTGGCCGTGTACTGGAAGCAGTTGGTTCGGAAGACTTGGGATGCTTTCTACAGAACTTGAGGGTCGGGCATGCTACCCACAGCCATTTTCACTTCCGCATCGCAGGATGCCGTGAGATGTTTGCTAGAAGCAGCCATGGAGGATCCGCCGGCATCGCTTGAGGGCGAAGAGGTGGAGGACGAGTCTCCGCAGCTGCAAGACCCTGCGACCGACGATGTGGACCAGGGTTCTGAGAAGGACGCAGAGGAGCCCTCAGGAGAGCAAGAGGCGGACCCGAGCACGGAGGATCCGTCAAACCAAACTCCTGACGAGGCCGCGAAGCCCAATGAGCTTCTAGAGCCTCTGCAGGCCTCGGATGACGAGTCTTCGAGTTCATCGCAGCCACCGGAGGCAAACGAACCGAAAGCTGCTCCGGCAAACGCTGCCGCTGGTGCCAATGCTGCCTCCAGGCTTCAACCGTGGTTATTTTGCGGAGGATCTTTGTTGTCCCAGCTCTCCGGTTCCAATGCAGCCCAGGCACCAGATCGCGGACTCGCCATACTACAAAAATATGAGGAGTTCAAGGTGGGGGTCCGCGGTGGGTGCCGTGCCGGGCATCATAATGAACTCATCTGGCCAGGAGATGGGCCACGTGGAAGCTGCTGCGGCAGTGCTGAGGCAGGAAGCGGGTGCGACTGTACTGTAGTGCTTAACACGTTGCCATGACTGGCCCAGCTGCCCAGCTTTGTCCGACACCTAGGCAGGGGCTGTTCTACTGCCCCGACAGCGCGGTGCTGAAAGCTCTGGCGGCCAAGGAGGGTGTGGAGCTTCCGGAGGCAGCTCAGGGTTCCGCCAGAGTGCCGCTGCAACGTGTGCATCGGATCAAGTGAAAATCTGTCAGGAAGACAGCAAGGGCCCTGCCGCGCTCATGGAGCAGCTGCGAAGAAGAGAGATGATGATGCAGCAGAGACTTGCACGTCCCAAGGGTGTGGGGGCGGGGGCAGAACCCAGTTGGGCACATGCACCTTTCGCAGTCCTTTCGCGTTTTGTGCACTCGCAGGCATCACGTTCTGTTTGAAGTTGTTTCATCAGCCCGTCTGATGGCATACATTTCGGCAGCAACGGGAAAGGGCAAATTTTGTTGTTCTAGATTGTAGTTCGGGAGTTGAGCTTCCTCGTGCCAGCGGCTAGCGGCTAGCGGTCGGCTTTTCCAGGATGCACCTCGCCCAGCAGCGCCAGCGTATGCAGCAGCTGCTGTCCCGCAGTTTCATTTGCCGAGGCTCTAAGTTGTAGCCGCAGTCAGTTAGTGAACCACCGGTGCATTTTCTTGTGGCATTCCCTTGTTCTTTTAGCTGCGAGTTTGAGTGCGGTCGCTGAGGATTCAACAGTGGCAAGCTCACCTTCACAATCCTCGCTACACCGCCCCTCCGACTCTGCCTGAACCAAGAAAGGGCAAGATCGTGGTGTCAGGCCCCCAGTTTCCCAAGATTTCCCAAGTCTATGTGGAAAAGGGTCTCTTTCTCTCTTGTTTCTCCTTTCCAGAGACACTGCGACTACAGCATGCAACGGCTGGTGAGGCCACCTGCGCCTACGCGATTCTACGACGAGCTCGAGTACCCGGACAAGAAGAAGGCGGGCCAAAGCCAGTGGAGCATTGAAAGAGAGACGATGACGACTCAACAAGAATCTCGTCAGTTGACGGAGCTCGTGGTGGCCATTTGACGTGAGCCTGCCAGCTTCAAACTGTGCCTTGTCGAAGGCTTCTCGTGGACTGGCCGCCGTTGCCGTGGGAGGGCTCTGTGGCTGCTTGGAGTCAAAGAGAACGTTCTGAATGTTATACGCGTGCGGTTTATGGTTAGGCTTTTAGGCAGCAAAGTGCTCCATGTTGGCTCCTTGATCTCGTGTTGAGGTTTTGTGGTTTCCATCCTCGAGCCCTGTTCGGCCGCTGGTGCTGCAGTTTACAGTTGAAGGAGATCGGCCGAGGTGTAGCAGGCAGAGGTCTTGCCTGCGATGCTACCTTTGATTTCCGAGTGTTTGTGTTGATGCAGAGGTCGTTATTGTCTTTCAATGACAGAACGTACGCATCATACACACATGCCGAAATGTCGGTTTCACCGCAAAAATAGCTCAGAGACGTCAAGAGCCTTTAACTTAAGCACAGCTCGGAGTCAACAACCAACGCTGACGAAGAGGCTGAAGGTTCGGAGTCCCACCGCTTGGCTGCACGAGTTCAGGGGGGTGTGATCTTGATTTCCCTGGAAAGAAGAGAGCACATGTCTGCCATGCTAGTCAATGATTGTGACCCTGCCATTATCTCGCTTTCCACGGATGCTAAGCCAGAAGCCTTTGAATACGTGGTCTCTATGTGTGGTGAATGAGGTAGGTTGGCTTGGGCTTGGCAGAGCAGCTCGCCATATTCCACCCGAGGCCTACTACTTGGTGTGGTCTTTCCTGGCGTGCCACCTTGCGCTCATAATCCTTCTGCGGGACTATGGCAGCGAGTGGGCGTTGCTTCTGGTGTGCGCAGCTTGCGCTTAAGTTCAGAATGGGAATGCAGTTGGAAGCGCTCGGCATATTCAGTCCACGTATTAGCTGTTCGAACAACCGGAAAACCCTAAGGCTGCTGTTTAAAAGCTGTTGTGTTGGGCTTGCAGTGGATGAGCCCTGCAAGGTAGCCAAGTATCACCATGTAGCATGGCTGGGGATTGCCTGGCTGCCAGACTATGATGTCTTATCGTTGATTTGGGTCAAGCGGCCCTGTGCTGTTGCAGTGGGGCTTGTGAGACAGTTCGGGTTTTCTCCTGAGCAGCTGTCAGCGTACAAATGTCGAAGCCACCGGACCTTCATGTGTGTGTATGTATTTGCTTCAGCTGCGCCCTCTTTGGCGGCGGCAGCAGCATTCAGGCGACAGTGGACGCAGTAGTAGTAGCAGGAGCCGTAGCAGTTGAACGAGGAGAAGAAGTAGTACCACAGCAGCACTAGGAGAAGCAGGAGCAGTAGCAATGGCAGTAGTTGTAGCAGTAGTAGTAGTAGTAGTAGTAGTAGTAGTAGTAGTAGTAGTAGTAGTAGTAGTAGTAGTAGTCGTAGTAGTAGTAGTGGTAGTAGTAGTAGTAGTAATAGTAGTAGTAGTAGTAGTAGTAATAGTAGTAGTAGTAATAGTAGTAGTAGTAGTAGTAGTAGTAGTAATAGTAGTAGTAGTAGTAGTAGTAGTAATAGTAGTAGTAGTAGTAGTAGTAGTAGTAGTAGTAGTAGTAGTAGTGGTAGTGGTAGTGGTAGTGGTAGTGGTAGCAGGAGTGGAAGCAGTAGTAGTGAGACTTCCTGACTCCTGGACTGCGTCTTTGACCAATAGTCGTGCGAGTACTGGGAACCAAAGCATTGCCCAGGACGTAGGAGACGCTTGTTAGTGCTTGCATGCGCAGAAGCTCAAAGGTCTGCCTGCATTTCCCTTTTGCATGTTTCGAATCCTCGTTATTGCGGTTATTGGAGGGAGTCTGCTCTCAGATGGATGCTGGAGGAAAGCACCTAAAAGGGTGAGGTTAGGCCCAGAGTAGGCTCTGCCATCCCAAAAAAGGCGGTGCTGGCGTTCCATGGTGGACATGCTCTGGCGGAACTTGGATCTTGGCTTTTGGCTGCAGATGGTGAAGACTCGCTGGGGCCATGGTCCATCGTTGTCATCTTCGCCGGAAACTTACGGCCAGAAGTAGATATGGGCACGACTTGTGACAGTAGGTTTCAACGGTTTGCCAACTTGTTTAGGGAATCAGCACGTGATGTTGCTGCTGCAGGCCTGCATCCTATACCTGCAGAGCTACCTGAAAGAGTGTAAAACTCTGCCACCGGACTACCTCTCCACGTTGTCCTTCTTTTTCCCGGTTTTTCCGGCCTATGATGCCGCCGTGGCACTGAGCTGCCTGGAATTTTTTCTGGAATGGAGGTACTTCCCAGACTTCAAGCTATGGACGCCTCTTGTCCTTTTAGGACGCTCAGCAGCAAGAGCAACGGCAGCTCAGGGCCGCTTCAGCCGGGTAAAGTAGAACCAATCCTTCCGAGATTTGTTCGAAGAGGGAGTGAGGATCAGCCTCTCTGCGGCTAGGCCCCTGTCTGACTTCAGGCATTGTCTCCATGGCCTTGGGCCAGGGCTTGGTGACCTGGGCTGCTCGCGTGGCGGACAGCTGCGAGTAGGGTCCTGGAAAGGGTCTTTGGGCAAGTCTGTGCCCTGCCCTGCTGTTTGTGTTTTTGAGCGGGAGGATAGAAACTTCTGGGCCTCGACACGGGAGCTGGAGGAGGATGAGCTGGTGGGCGGCTTCGGTTTACATTACGTGAGGTTCTGCTTGGAGAGGAGAGGGAACGTGGCTTGCAGATGCCGGTGCTGGATGGTTTCTGCAACTTGGCTTGCTTCGCTTGACGAGTTCTGAGGCTTGGAGATTCCGAATCGCCGGGTGGT